CCCTAAACCCTGAACCCTAAACCCTGAACCCTAAACCCTAAACCTGAACCCTGAACCCTAAACCCTAAACTGTTCTGTGCAAAGAAGGTCCTTCCCTTGTTATCTGTACATGGCTCATGCTGCAGTCTCCATCATTCTGGTCATTATCTTCTCTTCATGTCTAGAGCTACATGAGCTATAGTCTCAACTTCTTCATGCCTTTTTAACCTAAAGTGTTATATAGGGGGATTCTGTAGGGACTATTATAGGGGTTGTTAAGGGGGATACTCGAATTTTAGACTGTAGCTCACATGATGACCGCCCTTTGGCCCTCAGCTCCTGACGTCGGCTGTGCTAGCAAAACCTTTTCGGCATAGCACGTGGCCCGTGGCCTGTGGCCTGCTTCCAGTTGATGACACCAAAGCCTACTGGGTTTATATATTATAATAGGTAACAATCCCAATATATATATATATATGTATATATGTATATATATATATATTGATGTTATTTTGATATGTATTTATATATTGGGGCTATTTAAAGATAATGGAAAAGACAATGAAAGCTATTGTATTCGGGTTTAGGGTTTAGGGTTTAGGATTCAGATTTAAGTGTACAGCCAGATCATCTGGTATGGGGCCTGGGTAGGCCTACTCAAGGGCTCCTACGTAGTTCCCAGCGTAGAGGGTTTAGGGTTCAAGGGTTTATGGTTTAGGGTGTAGGGGTTTAGAGTTTAGGGGTTTAGAGTTTAGGGGTTTATGGGTTTAGGGTAGGAGGCTCTGGGTAAGCCTAGGGTACACAGTTTAGAAGCCTTCCGGTTCCATGACTTGAGTCCGGCGTACTGGGTTCGCAGTTTCCTTGGCGTTCCTCCGTCGGGAACGGGGCAATGATTTTTAGCCTTGATTCGTGCCTTAGACCCCAAAGACCTTCAGTTTTAGGACCCTGTAGTATAATTCTTTATATGAAATCCTAAAACTGAAGGTCTTTGGGGTCTAAGGTGGCAATTATGGCACAGTAGTATCTAGAGGTTCAGGCGAGAGGTCTATTGGTAACAGGCTGCTGCCGCATATACGGAAAAGTAAAATGGCACGGGCAATCCTTGTACATTCCATACCTTGCTCCCTTGGGCCATTCCCCTTTTCCCTTTCGGGGAAACTGTGACTGCAAGCGGGACTGATCTAACACCTCCAGAAATGTTATTCGCATGCTTGCAGTGGCTACAGTTGCCATGATATTCTGCCCGCCTCTTGCCGCTGCCATTTTTTCTTAGTCACCTAGAGTGACCCCAAGCGCGGGGTCCCGTACTTTTGCAAGCCTGCCGGAGCCTCAGGACAAAGGCTTGCCATTCTAACCTTAAATAACCCTATATACCATTATATAGCCTTATATATATATACACACCTATATTGTGTTGGGAGGAATAGTTTAAACGGACCGCCGAAGGGATCGTTTTGGGGCCGGATTTTCTAGAGGCTACCTTATGGTTCAGGCTGTAGAGGTTAAGGTTTAGGGTTTAGGGGTCCCTAAACTTAAGCCCTAAACCCTAAACCCTAAGCCCTAAACCCTAAACCCTAACCCTCTATATGGGGTTTGGGTTTAGGGTGCCATTCCTGTGTCCCAACTAAGGACTCGTGGGAAGGTAGCCTCGCCTTTACTGAAGCTCCTTCCGGGTCTAGGTCTGATTGTTTATTACCTGGGTTGCTGTTAAAGAACTTCAATTGGGTACTGCCCCCCCTCAGTAACAGTTGGATAATAATCATAATAGGGTTATAGATAGCCCTTAATAGGGCCCTTAATATAGACTGTTACTGGGTGGGGGCAGTACCCAAAACTTAAATGTAGAAACCATAACATGGGTATGTAGTAGGTAATAGGGTTTCCTTATAACATTTACTTCGTTTAAGTTCCCTTGAAACAACCCAGCTACGCCGTATGGCACGCGCATTGAGAAATTCGAAAGCTTTAGGCCTCTGAAATCCAAACCCTAGACTGCACGCCTTTAAGCCCTGAACTGCCCACATCCTGTATCCCCAATGGGCAACAGAAATTCCTGCCGTTTAACTCTGGCATGACGTAATTTGCCGTTAGACAGAGAGATTATGATGTCTTTCCTCTATTAGGGTATAAAGAAACCAATTCATGAATATGTTGGGGCCTTTACAGTGCCGCCCACAGGTCCATAGAGCCCACCCTGAAAAAGGACAGTTGTCTCGGTAGTCCTCCTGGGTGCCTTACATATTTGCTTATGAGGGATCACGCCAAACCCCAAGCCCTATTGAACCTTAGACCACAGACCCTGAACCCCAAGCCCTCAACCCTAAACCCTAAACCTCAAACCCCAAGCCCTAAACCTCAAACCCTAAAAAAACCAAACCCCAAACCCTAAACCCCAAACCTTAAACCTTAAACCCTAAAGATCCTAAACCCTGAACCCTAAACCCTAATCCCAAGGTTCCCTGCTGGTCGGTCGGCCCTCTGTCGGGAGCCATGGAGTTCCCTGGATCAAAAGCATATTCACGGGTTCCCCCATACTAGGTACCCCAGTAGTACCCTTTTACCCTTTTTATTTGGGGGTCTCCTTATTAAAATTGAACAGTAGGAAAAGGGTGCCCTCATTATTAATGGGGTACTGGGGAACCTAGCATATGCTACCCCAACAGGAGGGGTACGAGTTCTATGTAAAGATTAGGCTTCAGGGTTGAGAGATGCCACCCCATTAGAGAATCAGATAGAAAAAATAGAAGCAGGGGTTTAGGGCTTGGGGCGTAGGGTCCCGCATATACTACGCCAAAAGGTTTTTTCGCCAAAGTTATGCTTAGTCAGCCGCCACTTCCCTGAAGAAGCCAACCAGGGGCAACCTGCCGGGGGGTAGTATAGGCGGGCGGGTTAGGGACCTTTAACATAGAGTGTTTGGAAACAGTAAGTTACCAAGGACACGGGGGCGAATGGGCTCCTTACTGAGATCCCTAAACCCTAAACCCTCAGTTCGAAGATCTCCAGACATGGACAACCTCAGGGGACCGGCGGATATTCGGGCATCATACGGGATAATCGGGATTTGTGGTTCAGTTCAAGAGGACATCTTTCCAGCTCCCGTTGCCTTGTTCTTTGGCCCGTGGTTTCATGAGTAAACGTAAATCCCTAGATTCCAGGCCCTATGCCATCAGAGCTTGAATGATGGACCTCGCAGCATTGAACGGCCAGGCCCTGCATGCATACCCTATCTTACAACCCTAAACCCTAAACGACTCTCTCTTTCTCATGTGTGTTGAAATCACAGTTCGTCCTCCCATGAGCATTGCTGGTGTAGCTGCTGCAGGTTCTCTTCTCCTTGTGTCTGACGACGCATTCCTATCAGGAACACATTTCGATTTTCAAAAGCTAGGCGCTTTTTTTTTGAGTCGCTAGAACAGGAATATAGCAGGTTGGGTTCTATCTTGTCATTGGGGCCATGCATAACCCCCCCACCCCCACAACGTTGTTTTGCGAACGCCGCTTTGAAACTTGACATCACCTGATTGAGGTTGCAGAAATGGCCCGTGTTTCTCTCTCCAGTTCAAGCGCCCCAAACGCGAAACAACCCCAACCTCAACCCCTAAACAGCCCGAAACCTTCAAACATAAACCCTAAGCCCCAAACTCTCAACCCTAAACAACAACCCCCAACCTTAAAAACCAAAGCATCCCTGTTTACCTGCTGAAGGTTTCTGGCGACTTTCGGAGTGGCGGCCAAGAACATGTTCGACTACAACAGCATCTTTGTAGAAATTGCCCCATTAGGGTTTAGGGTTTAGGGGTTATACGGAGATTATACAGGGATGATCTTACCCCCAGTACTTGTGGAGAATCAAATGGAAAAGAGACTGGAAAGGATTGGCTAATGGTCTATTTGGGGCCTATAGGGTTTAGGATTTCCATAGATTGGAAGGTCCGCATTTCAGGGCTTTGGCTTAAGGAGCAGGGGATGCGGCTGTAGATTCGGGGGTGCATGCTTTCTGGCTCTGTGTAGAAAGTAGTTTTCCAAAATGGGGGGACCCCAATATAGACCCCAAAACACAAGAGTCCTTATTATAGGGACTCCAAAAGGGTAGCCCGAATTTGGGAACCCCTAAACCCTAAACAGTGTAGAGCAGTGTTTTTTTTGCCATCTGCCAGCTTCCGGGAGCTGCTAAAACAAAAAAACTTCCACCTGCGCAATCCTGGGAGTTGGAACATGAATCTTCCCTGAAGATAGTAATAATAGTAATCATAGTAATGATAGTAATAGTAATAGTAATAATAGTAAGAATAAGACGGGTAACAATAGGAATAATAGTAATGGTAGTAATCATGGTATCAATAGTAACAATAGTAATAATAGTACAAGTTGTTATAATGGTACTCATGGTCTTCAACCAAAAGCCTTTCAACCCAGACAGTCACAGTAACTCTCATTACATCTAGAGGCCCCAGACCTACATCCTAATCCATAAGTCCCCCCAAAATAGGTAGAATATGGAGTATATGGGGGTCTTATTGTAATATTGCCAAAGCCATATTCTATCTACTTAAGGGGGACTATAACCCTAAACCCTAAACCCTAAATGCTAGCCCATAAGTCCAAGGAGAGAACTTCCAGTTCGACCAAGAGCAGCGGCAGAGCCGCGAACTGCTCCGCCAGATTCTGCAGCTGAAGCGCTTCACACTCTTCCGAGAGGACGTTTAGGGTTTAGGGTTTAGAGGTTAGGGTTTAGATGCTTTTAAGCTGAGGTTTCTGTGTGCTCTCTGTTGTGAGCCTCTTCAGTCTTCAGCGCTTGGATATATCCATGTCGAGTACCTCCATAGCCCCTAAAGCAGCTATTCTCCGCAATGGGGGGCAGGGCCCGAAGTATAAAGGGTATAGGTACGCGGTGCCCTAGATTCTATTCCCCAAACTCATAAGCCCCAATTTAGGCACATGGACCCTAAGTCCTAAACCCTAAACCCTAAATCCTAAACCCTAACCCGAAATCCTGAACCCTGATCCGGGTGCCAAGACAGGACATTCGGGATTTAGTAGAGCTCACCGTGGGCAAGATGGAGATGTACCACCTGGTAGCAGCACTGTTGCTGGATCACCAAAGGGACTAAGGTTTAGGGTTTAAGGTTTAGGGTTTAGGGTTTAGGGTTCAGGGTTTAGGGTTTAGGGTTTAGAGTGAGGAGTTTAGGCTTCAGGGCTTCCGGTTTGGGGTGGTACCCTCCAAGCTGCAATTATGGAATCTTTCTAAGCCCATGTCCATAGGGTCAGACCGGGGCCCGTACGTGAGAACGCCCCGAGAATTCAGAAATTGGCTTGATTTTGCAGCTTCTTGAATTTACCACCATACAAGGCTTCAGTTTTCATGGCCTGGAGGTTATCCGATGTTGGTTCAACTTCAACCCACCACCTGATAGAAATCATCTAGAATTTAGGCAGAACAAGCGCGGAGCCAAGACAGTGCGGGGTCAAGCACAAAAGGTTCCACTTCGTACCCAGAACAAAGCTCTGCCTGCAACCCCAATCACCTACATCTTCCTGGGTTGTACCTACTAATGAAGGGGTAGTTACTATTACGCTGCAGGTAGTTCAGGTTACAGGCACTCCCTCGAGATGTTTGTTGTTGGAGATTGAAGGGGGCCCTGAACCCAGTCCACTTGCTGTCTAAGCCCGCAACAAGGTGGAAAGAGCTTTCAACATGAAAAGCAGTAAGCTGCCTGAGGTTCATGGAGTCGTCCATGGCCCTGTACTTTGAGGGCCGCATACACCATGTCACCCCGCCATTCATCGTCGGGCTCCTGTTCATCTCCATCGCTAGCGCTTACATGTCCGGCACTCAGGGCTTGGATTCAGGGACGTTGAGTTCCCGGTGGCTTTGTATCTCACAACTGTTGGCTTCTTATTGGTTACAAAGATGATGGTGATGATGGTGATGATCCTGTGGCCATTCGAACTTACTGGTTGTCAGGAAATACGGGAATACAATCCCAATATAGCCTATTCCCTTATTCCCTACTAACCCCAAACCCTGTACATTCCCTTATTCCCACCTACCGACCAGTAAGTGAAAGTTCTGAAGGGTGCACAGGTTTCGCCGCTAAACCCTAAACACTGAACCTTAAACCCTAAACACTGAATCCTGAACCTTGAATCCTAAACCCTGAGCCCTAATCCAAAGTCCTAAACCCTGGGCTTGAGTGGGCCTTACGGCCTCGGCATGCAGGTCTTGGAAACCATGAACATCCTGCTGGTTCTTAGTAGGGAAGATGGGACTATATAGGGTTTAGCGTTTGGGGTTTAGGGTTCATATTGTTAGGGAATACGTTTTTTTTTTAGATAGGGTTTAGGGTTTGCAGGGTTAGGGAAGACAGAGAATATATAGGGTTTAGGGTTTGTAGGGACTTCGGGTCTAGGGTTGATAGGATGAGGGAAGAAGGCAAGGTAATCCCTATGTAGCCCCCATTCTTTATGTTTCCTTATTCCCTGCTAACCGCCCAGTGACACACATGTCTCACCTCTGGGGCTTCTGGTAGAGACAGCTGAGACGTACAGACTTTGGCAAAAACCAAAAACCGGTGTGCTCATGCCATGCTCATGTCTTTGGGGTGATTAGGGTTTAGGGTTTAGGGTTTAGGGCTCAGGGTTTAGGGTTTAGGGGTTTAGGGTTTAGGGTTTACCGCCCGCCAAGCATATGTGTGTGGGACTGTGGTTAAGAGCTTGTCTACTTAAAACGTGCGGCTTCTGCTCAGCGCCCCTGATATCCACTATGGAGAGCCCAACGAACTGTTGACACGGTTTTTGGATGCATTTTCAGGCGCGCATCCAAGTCCAAATCTTCAGAGCCCCTAAACCCCAAACCCCAAACCCGAAACCCTAAACCCAAAATCCTAAACTTTCAACCCTGAACCCTAAACCCCTACCCTCAACCCTAACCTCTGTCACCCCCACCCCAAGAGAAAAAAATGGTAGAATTGCTTAGAGCCTCGAGCTGAGTTGAGGGTTGCCCAAATTCAGGGGAATAGGATCCCAAACCCTAAACCCTATGAACTCTAAAGGGTTTTAGGGTTTCAGGGTTTCAGGGTTTAGGGCAGGGTTTCGGGGTTTTAGGGTTTTAGGGCTTAGGGTTTAGGGTACCTGAGCCCCCTATGGCTGAGGTATCTTCTCCTGGCAGTCTGGCTCAGCATGCACGCGTCGATCTGCTCCCACAGCCTGGGCGTCAGGCTGCTTACACGCTTCGTTGCTAAGCTGCAGGGGGGGTTTAGATTTGGGGTTTAGGGTTTAGGGGAGTTTTAGGGTTGAAGCTATAGTTGTTGTAGGCTCCGCAGCTGTATGGAATTTCATGCTGTAAGCTTGACATGCGCTACCTCAACAAGGCTTGTTGTAGACCACCCCCCAAACCCCCAAGCCCTAACTTAAGCTTTAAACACCAAACTCCAAACCCATTGTGCAATTAAAGGCCTGCAAGCCTAAACCCTCAGCCTTCAGACCCCCACAGACCCATCGGCCTTAACCCCAAACCTATTCCTGCATCGGTTAAGGGTTTAGGCTTTAGGGGGAGTTTATGTTCCAAATACTATAATCTGATTGGTTTTTGACACCTAAAACCCTCCAAAATGGGTACCTGGACATTGAACCCTATATCCTTTTGTACCGTTATATACCCGCATATATCCCTATACAACCCCTTTAATACCCTGCTACTTGGGTACCTTGATTTTGAGGGAACCCCCAAACCCTTTAACGCTTACACCTAAACCCTTAGACCCTTCAACCCTAAACTCCCGATCCCTTCAACCCTAAACCCCTGAACCCCTGAACCCTGAACCCCTGAACCCCTGAACCCCTCAACCCTGAATCCCTGAACCCTGAACCCCTAAACCTAAACGCTTAAACCCTCAACACCCTAGACCCTTGAACCCTTAAACCCCTCAACCCTAAACCTCTGAACCCTGAAACCCTAAACCTCTGAACCCTGAATCCCTAAACCCTAAATCCCTAAACCCTTAAACCTTAAGCCCTAAAACCGTCTTCAGGTGCGTCTTCCTGTTCCCGGAATGGAGCAGATGGGTGCCTTAAATGCCCGCCTTGCGGACTTCGAGCGGCAAGGCACCCGGAGAAAGGGTCGACACATGTACATATGTCTATCTTTCTCTATACTTTTCTTTTTCTACAGTCGTATCTCTTGTTAGGATCATTATTATATTTTTAGTATTGCTGTTAATACTGTTATTTGTCATATATCGGGAAATGCAGGGATGAATAGGAATTATTTGGGGGTCTAGGGGCTGAGATTTTAGAGTTGCGGTGTAGGCTTCCGGTGCAGATGTTCAGGGTTTAGATTTCAGGGCTCAGGGATTCAGGTGATAAGAACTACTTTAGGCTCCTTGGGCCAGGGATCTCGAGTTTCTCCCTAGACCCTAAATCCTAAGGCTGGGGTTTAGGGTTTAGGCCCCCCGCAACTTCTGCATATGGTCACTTCTGGCTTCATAGTAGTACGGGTTGCCAGCATGTTTCGTGGCATTTTTTTTCCAGGGCTCCCAGTTACATAAAGAAAGGGTTCTGGGTTCTATATAGCCTATAGTTACATTGCCCAGTAACCTACTATTTTGGTACCTGGGAGCCCTAGGGTATGCCAACCGGAGATCCAACACAATTCTCCACGCAATGCAGGAACAGACATATCTGTCCCTATATAATCCCCAATAATACTGTTGTTAGCATTTTCCTTTCCCTTCCTAGATTCCCTGCTGAACTCAGGTCAGTTCTGTCCTGGACCCCTTACATCGCGGTTTTTCGACATCCGTAAACCCCTTCCATAATATCAATCTCCCCACCCTGGAAGTAGTCCCTGTTCCCAAACTGTCTGGTATACCATTATGGGAATGTTTATGTTATATACCTTAGGAGGACCCTAATTAATATAATCCTGTAATAGTGGCATATTAGGAATATAAGAGGACCCTAATATAATCCTTGTTATCCCTTATAGTCACTATTACTGGGTGGGGGGTCCACCTAAGGTATACCATTAGGGGAATGTTTATGTTAGGGAGGTGGGGTTGTTAAAGTTATGGGGAGGAAATTGAATTGGAGTCCTGGGCCTTTCGTCCAGGTCCTTGCACAGGGCCCCCCGCCCGTTTTGGGGGGGCATAACTTATAACTATCATATGAGCCATAATCTAAACTCCTTAAAGGGGGTTATGCAGGGGACTATATAGGGGACTACTATAGGGCTTATTAAGGCGGATACTAGGAGTTTAGACTATAGCTCATATGATCAACAGAACCCCCTTCGAACTGAAGGTATGAAGAACATGCTGCGGGTGCCGGTGGTGGGGGGCAGCCAGCAGTGGGGGAAGCCTTCTAAGAAGCTGGATGCGATTCAGGAGGCAGACCGGATCTAGAACTCGGGGAGGGTGGGTTAGGGGCTCTCCCTACTTATGGTTTGTTTGTGAGAGGCTCCCATATCCAGACTCCAGGGATTTACAAGGAGCCAGTAGAAACCAATGTCGTCCTTTGATCGGAGTTGCTGCCTGTGTATACCCCAGTATACCCTTAAGTGCAGGAGTCCCTTGCTAAGTGTCCATCTCAGCAATCCTTTAAATGTTGGGTGTGCGTAGGCGACATGGAGCTTTCAGGAGGTCCTCTGGTGAGTGTACATGGGAGTTTCCCACATGAAGGGTCCTTTTTGGGTGGTCGCTATACTGAGGACTTCCGTATATCTCGGGCGCTGCAGCAAGCCCTCAACCCCAGTCGTTGGGAATGTTGACGTGTGATTCTTTGGGTGTCGACTGGGGGCAGTGGAGGTCCTACCAATGACCTCTATAGAATCCTTCTGGGGAGCCCCTATATCCTACCCCCATCCCGAGGCAAGTATCTTGGTGTCATGTACATGAAGCCCTTCAACCCAGCCAGTGAGCCCAAGCCCAAACTGTGCTAGCATGACTTGCATGTTGAAGCTTGCGCAGCGTGGCAGGGCTCCGCAAAGTAGAGTGAACACCCACATGAATGCTACCTATGCAGGAAAAATTCCACTCGAAGTTTGTGCAACACTTAACGAGCCCCCCTGCTTCTGAACCTCCAAAACCCTAAGTCCTGCACCCAAAACCCCCAGGAATAAGAGCCAATCCTACCCCGCAAAATCCCAAACCCTAAGCCCCAAACCCTAACTCCTAAATTCTGAAGACAGAAACGCACAGCAATAGCTCCTCTGAACAGGGCCAGCCGTCGGCGGGCCAAGACTTCCTCGGCGAAGGCGGGAAAAGAAAACAATAGTAATAGTAGCGATAGAGGTAAGAAGAATAATACGAGTTTTAAAATAGTAGTGGTAGTACTAAGAGCAATACTAGTAATGATTGCGAATAACAGCAGATCATGGTAAATAATGATAAGAGAATTTTGGAGGGTTTCTAGGTGCAGGGTTAAGGCGAGTTCGGGTTGAGGGGGTTCAGGGGCCAGGGTTTGGCCTTGAATTTTGGTCAGTCCCCCTATAGTAAAAGCTCCTTAGTATCGAGTTAACAGGGCCTCAATATAACTACAGCAGCTGGGTGGGGGATTGACCCAAGTTTTAATCCCCTCCCGCTGTTCTGGTGTCAGGCTTTGGGGTTTGAATTCAAGGCCGCTAGCGATGGACAAACACATGTGAAGTGAAATGGAGTCTGGGATTGCATACAGGTTATGTCCCAAAGGGTCTAAGTACCTATATGGTAGATACTTCAGGGTATGTTGGGGCCCAAAGTATTTACTATGTCGGTACTTAGGTGGTCTCTATTTGCACAAATTTGAATATATAGGGGTTTAGGGTTTAGAGTGTAGTGGGATAATGGGAAAGAAAATGGAAACTACAATATTATATTGGGATTATATAGG